CAAAGTGGCTAAAGACTAAAACCAAAACAGCAGCTAAAAGCTAAATTCATCAAAGTGGCTAAATATTAAAAGAACAGGAGTTAAAAGCTAAATTCATCAAAGTGGCTTAATGCTAAAACCAAAATAGCAGCTAAAAGCTAAATTCAGCAAAGTGGCTAAAGACTAAAACCAGAACAGTAGCTAAAAGCTAAATTCATCAAAGTGGATAAATATTAAAAGAACAGGAGCTAAAAGCTAAATTCATCAAAGTGGCTAAATATTAAAACCAAAAAAGCAGCTGAAAGCTAAATTAATCAAAGTGGCTAAAGACTAAAACCAAAACAGCAGCTAAAAGCTAAATTCAGCAAAGTGGCTAAAGACTAAAACCAGAACAGTAGCTAAAAGCTAAATTCATCAAAGTGGCTAAAGTCTAAAACCAAGACAGCAGCTAAAAGCTAAATTCATCAAAGTGGCTAAAGATTAAAACCAAAACAGCAGCTAAAAGCTAAATTCATCAAAGTGGCTAAATATTAAAAGAACATGAGTTAAAAGCTAAATTCATCAAAGTGGCTTAATGCTAAACCCAAAATAGCAGCTAAAAGCTAAATTAAGAAAAGTGGCTAAAGACTAAAAACAGAACATCAGCTAAAAGCTAAATTTAGCAAAAGTGGAAATTTAACTCACACTTCTTTAAACCATCTTTAACACTGATAAAGAACAAATACTTTTTAAATTTAATTTCTCATTACACTAAATTTTACCAAAGTAAGAAAGAATCAACTGAAAACTCACAAACAGTTTTCAGAAGGTCTCGGCCTGACTTTGACCAACCTGGGACAGTTTTGCAGATAAAGCCCCGCCTCTCCGTGCACGTTGACAGGTGCCACGCACCGTCAACCATCCTGATGTTGACACAAGAATCTGCAGTCAGACGCTTGGTGTCCGGTCCTCTGCCGGCCCAGTTGCTGTAGCCCACGGGGGAACCGTCTACCCAGGTCATTGAGTCGGCTGGAAACAGATTCAACGGTCAAATCAGAAGAACTGATCTCTAAGCAATGGAACAAACGCAGCGACGGGTTCTTACTGTCCACATTGAAGTTCATCCCCAACCACACGGTGTGGTGAAGGAGGCCCAACGACCACAGCTGCTCCAGAACAAAACGGTTCTCCGTCTCGTTCTTGATCGTCAGAACATCCGAAGTGTTGACTGGAAAAGTGACAATTAAATCATAATTAAATGATTAAACCATATTTTTACTCTTATAATTATCTGATAAGGCAACTTTAGTCCTGTGATGATTGGGAGGTTGCTATGTAAGCTAGCTAAGACGCTACAAGAGAACTAGTTGTTCCAGTTAGAAAACTTAAATTCAACAAACCCCAAACCCCAAATTATTAATTGTAGAGTTAAAAGTAGGTGGATTTAGTTTTAATACAAACCTAAGCTAGCTTTTCTAAATGTAATTTTCCAGCTACGCTAGCCTCGTTATGCTAAGCTAAGCTAAACTAAGCTAGCCTTGTTATGCTGAGCTAAGCTAAACTAAATTAAGGTAGCCATGTTTTGCTAAGCTAACCAAAGCTGGCTAGGTTTTGGCAGCAACCATATATCTGTCGCCTGGAAGAAAAATGTGCTAATAAATAATGAACAAATTTTCTTTGACCACGACTTCCCCTACGAAGTGATGAAAAAAATATTTGGTGAGATTAAAAAGGAATTACGAGCCAAAAGCATCCACTTCCAAATGCCCTTCAAGTGGATTTGCTGAAGCGCTGGCCCGCGGACATTCAAGGACATACTAGGACATACAAGGGACATACAAGGACATACAAGGAACATACAAGGACATACAAGGAACATACAAGGACATACAAGTACATACAAGGAACATACAATGACATACGAGGAACATACAAGGACATACAAGGAACATACAAGGAACATACAAGGACATACAAGGAACATACAAGGACATACAAGGAACATACAAGGACATACAAGGACATACAAGGACATACAAGGAACATACAATGACATACGAGGAACATACAAGGACATACAAGGAACATACAAGGAACATACAAGGACATACAAGGACATAAAGAACATACAAGGACATACAAGGAACATACAAGGACATACAAGGAACTTACAAGGAACATACAAGGGACATACATGAGGAAATTCAGATCAGGGCATTGAAGGAAGGATATGGAATGTGTTCCTATGGCAAGAAGTGGACTTTGGAAATAGAGAATCGCAAACAGAAACAGGAGTTAGACGTAAACTGAAGGAGTTCAGAASAGGCCGTGTTAGACAAGAAAAACAGGTGAGACCCAATCTGCAAACTTGTTATCTCATCTGGAAGGTAACACACTTYATCTGCTTCATCTTTTCAAGAAATATGTTATCTGTCAGTTCTTTTGACCAGGTGTACGTACCAGGTATATTGGACTCATTTAGTGTAGGTCAACCATTCTGCCCCTACAGAGAGCTCCCCCCTTGTGGCCCCTCTCCTCCCCCCAACAGAGACCTGACTGGGTCTAATGATCCAGATTATATAGAAGACTCTAAACCATGATTACTTGATGCCGCTCTGCTCCGGAGCAACCACTACAATCAGTAGCTGCGTTTCCATTGACCATGAAAATGCGCAAATTGTAATTTCGAAAAWAAATTTGCTCAATGGAAACACGTCAATTTAAAAAAAAAAACTTTCTTTTTTCGACAAAATGTTTTTGCGCTAGGATGAGGTGGTTTTTCGGCCGTATCGAAATTGGTGTGTTTCGCAAAACTGCAATGGGAACACTTTTCGTATCACAGGAGTCACGTGATCAACAACCGGCTGTTTCTACTGGCRAAAAAGACRATAAAGAAGAAGACAACAGGAAGTAGTAGTAGTAGTAAAATCACCGAAGTAGTAAAAGAAAGTAGTAAACTCGATGACTACAATTTCCCAAAAACACAGCATAGGTAGCTGCTCCCAAGTATAAGGGGCTTGTCGCTCGAAAGCCTTGATAAGACGCCRACGTCTCCTYTGATGATGARCGCTAGTGTCGTGGTAGCAATTATGCTATGTGTTTACATCCATTGCCGCCATGTTTGTAATGACTTATGGCGAGAACAAACGTATTCACGCGTGACTTTAATAGTATTTCTTACYTAATGGAAACACCGCAATGCGAAACTGTGTTTTTCGACATTAACAGAATAACGACACAGTTTTGTTGCACATTTGCAATGGAAACGCAGCTAATGAGACCATTGGCACTGGCTCCGCACGGCGGCAAAGGGCGGCGATCAACCAAAATTAGACTCCATCCTATTTCTGCTGGACACCGGTGTTCTGACGATCTATGCTCGCTCGTCAGCTCGATAGCTAGGCCTACTGTCGGTGCTACCCATGGAAAACTGCTACTGTCATGTTAACAAAAATATCATCATTGGATAAAATCCTTTGAGTGACGGTGTAAGCTTAGGAATTATGCTTAGCATAGCATTGTTTTTATAATGTAAAAGACAAATAAAAGCACACGTGAAAACTTTACCTTTGTGTTTACAGTGCTGCCTCGACTCCTCAAAGGTTAGATCTTCTTCCACAGATTCGAAGTTGTAACATCCCCGTTCGAATTTCACCCACGTGGACGGACAAGTTGTCTCAGACAGGATGAAAGGTTCGCTGCCTGTTGAGGAGCCAGTGGTAAATTAAAAAACAAGGGTCATTTTTACACACTGAGAAGAAAYGGTTTGGTGTTTGAGGAAGAGGAACGGACTTGGCGGGGGATTGTGACACAGAGCTCCGGGCAGCAGAGTTTCGCAGTCGGCTCGCCGCCAGCCTCCGTTCACATCCATGTAGACGCACTCCCCCGTCACAAAGTCGTCGTCGTCGTCCACTGCGTCCCAGTGCGTGTACACCGTGTCGCTGCCGTCGGACCACTGATAGTTGATGCCRCTCTGCAACACGTCGCCAAAACAGAATAAAACAGAATAAAGAACTCCTTTGAAGTTAAATTTTGGTTCAGAGTCACATTTTCTAAAGCAGGGAAAGTCAAACTTTTAGGGTCTGGGGAMCCCTTACAAGGGCAAAAAATTCCAGGGACCCCCTCATAAACCCCATGCTGTTTTTAAAGATAATTTACTGTCATTTCAACCTCTAAATGCCATGGGAATATCTTTTTTTATTTTGTTTATTATGTTTGTTTTATTAGTCCATTTTTCCCCATGCATTTTAAAAAATAAAAACCAAATAATTATTTAGTGAAATTTTTTGAGGACCCCCAATATACCTCTCGTGGACCCCTGGGGGAAAGTTTGAGAATCTCTGTTTTGAAGATATTGGTGTAAAATCTCAAGAGTTAGAGTTAATCACCAGCTTCTAAAGCAAAAGTTGGGATGAAAAATATCTGTTGTGTTTTAGATTGGAGCATCTGAATCAGAAACGGAGATTTATGGGAAACTCTCACGTTTCCTGTGTTCATGTCTCTGACAAAGATATGAGATTAATAAATCTTATGTGTGACTGTATACTGGGAAAGAACGTTCCTGCAAACACAACATCTCTGCAGAGTTAAAGGTCAAGTGATCCCCTTCGCTAATATTCCCCCTGACAATAAAACTAAACCGTATTCTGTGGTTAAATCGTCCTTTTGGGATCTTCTGTCTTATTTCACTCAATTAGTAAGAAAAAATAAACAAAACATATAAAGCAGCCACGCCTCATGTCTAACAGTCCATACTGTACGAAGTCTACTTACGTCTTGACTGAACAGTCCGATCCAGAGCGGGACCGCCAGTCTGTTGACGAGGACGGTGAGGAAAGCCTGGTGGTACGCATCCGTGATGCTCACCGGGTTGGACCCATTCTCTTTGCACATGTGCATGGCGTTGTACCAGCTCATGTTGCCGGACACAACCTTGTAGCTGTGACTCCTGTACTCGATGTTTCCAAGAAAAAGGTGCTGGTAGGAGTGGGTCGGGGGTTTGGATGTGTCTGCAAAACAGAGAGCCCGTGTTCAGTTTAGTCATTAGTGAAAACAATGCCAAATAACGCCTGGAGACTCAGGGATTCCAGGATATAAGTCTTTGACATGTGGTCTGGATCTGGTGCGTYGCATAACACAAAGGTGGAAAAATACATCAGCAACCATCCTTAGAGAAGCAAATGGTGCTGCTCATCAATCTAGGTCAAATCTGGGTCAAAGGTCGTATACAAATTATCTGAAAGGTTTCTGAGATAAAACCAGGTCAAAAAACAGATGTTACCCAGAATGCACCTCAGCGAATGCCTCATCCCTGGCTTGGAAACCACACCCCAGGTTGGTCCCGGCCCTCTGGTTGGGAAACATGCTGCCCAAGTTGGTGTTGGCCCRTCTTATTGGGAAMCACACACCYTAGGTTGGTAYCAGCCCTCTGGTTTGGAACCACACYGCCCCGCCAARTTAAAGTCAACCTCCTGGTTGGGAACATTCCCCTCTTGGTTGGTGCTGCACCTGTTTCCACSCTCCCAAACAAAGTTGGTGCCATTTGGTTGGGAACAACTCCCTGTCAGAGTGGTGCCGATACTCTAGGTTGGGAACCACAGCCCCTAAGTTGGCCCACCCTAGGTTGGGAGCCATGCCCCCCTCAGGTTGGTCCCAGCCCTGTGGTTGGGAAACATGCTGCCCAAGTTGGTGTTKGCCCATCTTATTGGGAACCACACACCCTAGGTTGGTACCAGCCCTCTGGTTTAGAACCACACTGCCCCCATCAAGTTAAAGTCAACCTCCTGGTTGGGAATCACACACCCCCAAAGCTGGTGTCGGTTCCCTGGTTAGAAAAAAACTCCCCCTCAGGTTAGTGCTGGACAACTGGTTTGGAAACCACGCCTCCCACAGTTGGGGTCAGCCCCATAGTTTGGAAACCATGTMCCTATCAGGTTGGTACTGACCCACCTGCTTGGGAACCATGCCCCTCAGAGTGGTGCTAGCCTTCCTAGTAAGGAACCAYTGGGCCTCTTGCAAGAACGTTTTCATATTCTCATCCTAAATTTCTCTTACTTTTGTTYGTACGAAGGGTTCGTACGAACATGTCACATCAGATTCAAAAAACTCTTCTATCTTCAGGAAAAGTGTGTAAAATGAGCTGCGTAAACATGATAAACTCCACCTGTTCGTATCCAGCTGCTTGTGCACAAGGAGAGGAGATTAGCATAATTACCACCCTAAAAACACCATATAAGGCTACGTTTCCTGCCTCACATACCAGGAAGTGTCCATTCACGAATGACATCACAAAGTAAAAAAGAAGAATTTCGGAGATTGAAGTCCTGCTCTCAGAGATCCAGAAAAGAAAATTCATTTTAAGCAGCATCAGCTGTGGAATTAAAGGAGCTGCTAAAGCTGAGGAATGAAATGTGCTGTTAATGTTGTGTTTCCCATGGGTCGTACAGTCACAGTAATAAAAATCTAAATCTTATTCATCTCTCTGCAGTCCTGCTCCGGTTTTCCTTTTGTCAAAWATTTTAAATTTAAGTGTAAACAACTGTGTTACATAGTTTTCATTTGTTAAGAAGAGCAGCTGCACACAGCTTCAATTAATGCATAATTTAAGTTGGTTTGTAGTTTGAGATCTTCATATTAATATTGTAGTGTTATACAACAGCATTAATAGCAAATTTATTTTAATTTAAACAATTTATATTGTTAGTCTAAATTATTACATTTAAAATTATAACTCTAATTCAAACAGAGTCACCTATTTTCAACATAATTACGGAGTGTAATTTATTTTCAACTCTGTCTTCAAACTAATGAAATATAAAGTTATTAGTGAAGAAAATCCATCTGGATAACAGCAGACTAACTGCTCGTAAAACAAACCACAGGTCTGGACCACTCTTGAGTTTTGTTCCTATCTGAAAGAAATCTTAGAATAAAAAACTTGGTGAATGCCACAAATTCTACTAAATCACTCGTACGCACAACTTAAGAACAAATCTGTTCGTACGAACGGTTCTTGCATGTGGTCCACTGTTCTGGGCCATAGATACAGTGTATATATAGATGAAAACAGTGAGTGGTAACTGCAGTTTATTAACATTCTGTAGCAGAAAAATGAGGTACAGATGGAACATTACCTTGAGGTTTCTGACAGACGAAGCCGTACCCGCTCTCGCTGCACTTCTCGTCGTACCACTTCCCGGTCAGATGGAAGTTGTGGTTGTTGGACAGAACGGTGCAGAGAGGTTCATCGGTAGCTCCGGTGAGCCACTCGTCCTGCTAACAGTTGACGGACAAACCGTGTATCATCGTGCATTCAGGAGGATTTTTGTAAAGGTTTTACGGACTCGTGAGGCTTACAGTGAGGTGGCTTTTTGGTTCTACTGGAGACCAGTTGGTGTAGCTGACCGGTTTGCCATTGGTCCACTTCATGGTGTCCTCGTCTCGCAGACCAATCCACACCCCCACCGAGCTGCCCTGGAGCAGCATGGTGATGTAGGCTGCAGGACGGAGGAAACAGAAGTTAAAGACGGTTCGGTAGACGGAACAGTCGTGGAC